AATAGTCAATGACCACTAAATAGTCTTTACCTTTGAGATGAAACAAATCCATTCCAACTTTATGCCATGGCGCTGTTGGCACATCAGTCACCATCATGGGCTCTTTAGTCTGTTTGTTTCTGTGTGTTTGGCATGTGTCACACGTTGGTACGTGTAATAAAGACATCGAGAGACTGATTGGTATCAATCTCTCGATGTCTTTATTTATTCCAGGCCAGAAAACACTGTTTCTTACCCATCTTTTGCATTTTTCAACACCCAGATGACCTTCATGTATTCTTTGTAGTACTTCCTGTCTCAATGCGCATGGAATGACAATCCTGTGTTGTTTCAGTAATAGCCCATCAACGACACTCAGTTCACCTCTGATGTGCAACCTACCTATGTTGCAAATGTATTATCTTTTCAATTTACACACGGCATCTATTGCACGTCTGTCCGTCCTGGGAGAGGGATCCCTCCTCTGTTGCTCTCCCTGAGGTTTCTCCCATTTTTCCCTTTAAACTGTGGGTTTTCTCCGGAAGTTTTTCCTTGTACGATGTGAGGGTCTAAGGACAGAGGGTGTCGTATTGTCATACTGATATTTTGTACAAACTGTAAAGTCCACTGAGACAAATGTAACATTTGTGATATTGGGCTATATAAATAAACATTGATTGATTGATGTGGTAGAAGAGCGGACAGGAAACTACAGGCCATCCATTTTGCATATTTGCAATGACACACTGCAGCTCTGTGTCTTTTGCTGTTTCTTCAGCTATCTGTCTGGACTTTGTGTCTGATACAGGAAGAGCAGCAGACACCATGTTCACATGACTTTTCACATCCTCTTCAGTTGTACTCACATTATCCACTGTAGGCTTGTGAGAGAGCGTCAGCAAGTATCAGGTGCTTTCCAAGTGTGTAGATCAGCTCAAAGTCATATCTCTGCATCTTCATCATGAGACACTATCCTTTGTGTCATTTCACTTAAATTATTTTTAATGATGGATACAAGTGGACGATGATCTGTCTCTACTGTGAATAAAGGTAGGCCATGTAGCTGTGGCACTTCTCAAAGCCATAAACCAGTCCCAGACATTCTTTTTCTATTTGAGCATATCTGCACTCAGTCTGTGTCATTGACCTGGATACATAGGCCACTGGTTTCCAATGCTCGCCTTCAACTTGTAAGAGCACCGCGCCTATTCCATCCTTTGAAGCATCTGTTGAAACTTTAATCTTCTTTGTTGGGTCAAAGAATGTCAATACACGTGCCGTTGTCAGTGTCTGTCTGAGTGTTTTCCACTCTTGCTCATGTTTGGCTGTCCATTTAAACTCATTTTCTTTGTGCAGGAGCTCACGGATGCAAGATGTCTTTGCAGATAGGTTTGGAATAGATTTACCTATGAAGTTGACCATCACCATAATGCAAAGTACACCTGTCTTGTCTGTGGGCCTTGGCATATCCTATATGGCTCTGATCTTTTCTTGGTCAGCTTGTACACCTTGTGCAGAGAGCTTGTCTCAGAGAAAGACAACTTCTTGAACTCCAAACTCACATTTGCTCTTGTTAAGCTTGAGTCCATACTTGCGCTCCAGTACCTTTTTCAGCCTCTCATTGTGTTCTTGTAGTGTAGAGCCCCACACAATGATGTCATCAACATATGTTCGAACACCATCCAGCCCCTCAATGATGTGCTCCATCGCTCTGTGAAATATTTCAGATGCTGAGATGATCCCAAAGGGCAGTCTGAGGAAGCAATATCTGCCGAATGGTGTTTTAAAGGTGCAATATTTGGTGCTGCTTTCATCCAGTTTCAGCTGCCAAAAGCCTTGAGACACATCAAGCTTTGTGAAGAAGCTGGCACCTGCCATTTCACTTGTGATTTCCTCACGCTTGGTTATCTGATAATGTTCACGCTTGATGTTTTCATTAAGATCTTTTGGGTCAATGCACACTCTTAAATCACCACTTTTCTTCTTTACACAGACCATCGAGTTAACCCAGTCTGTTGGCTCCTCACCCTTTTTTATCACTCCGAGCATTGTCATTCTGTCGAGCTCTTTCCTTAAGCGATCTCTGAGTGGCGCTGGAACTCTTCTTGCAGCATGCACAACTGGCTGTGCATTTTCTTTGAGCTGGATGTTGTATGTGAAGGGCAACACACCAAAACCCTTAAACACATCTGCATAACTCTGTACTATACAATCAATAGAGTCATTTGGTGTACTCACAGTTGTGTTGATGCAATACACTCTCTTGACAAGTTCCAAATCTTCACATGCTTTATCAGTCAGCAGTGAATCAAGTCCATCAGCGACAACAGAGAAAAGTAGGTGGTGCACTTGACCTTTTGAGGTTACCTTTAATATGTACACGCCCAAACTGTTGATTTTCTGTCCATTATAATCTTTTAGTGCCTGTGTTCTTTTTTAAATGTGTGGCTTATCTTTCATTGCCTTGATGTCAGACAGGCTCATCAGGTTTGCTTTTGCACCAGTATCCAGTTTCATAGTTATTATTGTCCCGTTAATCATCAGTGGAGCTATCATTTGTCTTTTCTGATAGCATTAAGCTCTTTTTGCTCAGTTTCACAGTTAACCATGCCAACAAAAAATGTCTCACTTAAATCATCGTCTTCCACTATGTTTACAGACTTTCCTTTCTTCCTCTCTTTTCCTTTTGAGAAGCACTGCTTAGCAAAATGGTTATTTCCCTGGCAATTAGAGCATTGCTTACCAAATGCCAGACACTGTCGTGGTTTGTGCTTCGAGCCGCAGCGCTTGTCCCTTCTTCCGACCGCTGTGTAGGCCGCGTCTATGCGCGCCATTTGCCTTGGCTGGAGACCGCACCAACTGCTGCGCCATCATTCACGTTAGCCGCGCTGAAAGTCCTGACGTGCATTTGGGACAGCTCACTTGCATGGCAGATTTGTATAGCTGCTTCACATGTCAGCTCCGTTTCCCTCAGCTGCCTTTCTCTGACCTTTTTATCCTCCACGCCAAACACGATCTGGTCCCGTATCATGGAGTCCCTTAGCGTAGCAAAGTTGCATGACTGTGCTTTTAGCTTCAGGTCAGTCAGAAAGCTATCAAAAGGCTCATGCTGCTGCACACGTGAACGGAATACATATCTCCCGTATGTTTCGTTCTTTCTGGGAGAGCAGTGGGCATCAAATTTCTCAAGCACTTTATCCAGTTTGTCTTTATCAGCCTGCTTTTCATACACAAAAGTATTGTACACTTCTACCGCCTGTGGGCCTGCTATAGTTAGCAGTAGCGCTACCTTTCTAGCATCCGGCTTAGTTTCCAGTCCCATGGCCGCGATGTAAAGCTGGAACTGCTGCTTGAAGGTCCGCCAGTTGCTGTCGACATTTCCCGAAAGTTTTAGTGTCTCCGGTGGCTTTAATGAATCCATGTCGCTTGTCACAACTCCTCATTTAATGTGTTTTTATTTTACTTCATAATTTACACCTGGTACCATGTTTTGTTTGTTGGTCTATTCATGAACTGACTCATGCTCCGTGCTAAAGTCTTAGCCATCTTTAATCTAATTTAGTCTTGTTCCTTACATGTGGATTCAAACATAGACAGGGACGCGGGAAGTCAATCAGAGTTGGGGGTGCGGTGGGAGGGGATTTTTTTTTAAATATTGAAGTTAAAAACATCAATCTGATGCACTTTGAGAGCAAAATTAAGAGATCTACTATGGGTAACTGTTTTTCATTTATTCTCTCTGGCTGTCCATCTCATAATGTTCCCATTATGCCAATAGGAATATAATTCAAAATAATTATAATTTCATGCAAAAATCGTCTCAAAAAGAGGTTGCACATTTAAATTCAGGTGTTGTTATGGCAACGTCAGTGGCCAAACAGCCAAATGTACTGCTGCAAATACGTTCAAACATGCTGTCGACACATAAAGCAATGGCAACTATGCCACCATTTCAGCTGACTTTTTCTAAGAAATACTGTCAGATAGCATCCATATATTTCAGTGCTAGGTTGATGCTACTATGAAACACTTTAACTGAGGACTCCGGATCAACTGTAAGGTAGCTTCTAGCTTCATGTCGAATAGTAAGTCAACATTTTCCAGAGAGCTTTCTTTGAAATCACCAGGTAACGCTAAAAAACATTACATTTAGATTGTATGACAAAGTGTTTATTTAATATCTCTGGCTAGCTATTCTTTCACACACAGTGACGTCACGAGCTACCCACAATGCAACGCGCGCCATATATATATATATAAATACGCCATTTTCCTGGAGGTGCTAATAGGATATTAGCACCTCCAGGAAAATGGCTAATATAAACAGCTAGGTAACGTAGCCAGGCAGAGCGCACTAGGTTATTTTTCTGAATTAACGACCGAAGAAATCGCTGCATGTCTTCGGATTACATCTCTGGACTTGAGGGGTGTGCTCTAGGTCGTTACCCGGTAAACTAGAGCTGTGTGGGTTGTCCGATTGCCCTTACAGACTGCCTGCAGATGTATGGAAAAACGACTCTCGAAAGTGGCCTTCGGTCGATTTTGGCAGCATCTACGTCTATCTTCTGGAAACACCAGATGAATACCCCACTTGTCACAATAATATTATCATGCCAATGCATATATGTGGTATTTTAGAGTTGACTAGATATTGATTAAGGCAATAGATTATGATATTCTGCTTGCACCTCGTGTGAAATGGCGGATACCGGAAGTACGGTGTCGCCCTCGGCCCAAAACCCGTATGTGTGTGTGAAAGAATAGCTACTTGCTAATGGTTTAGCTTACCCACGCGATTCAAAGTAACGTCAACGTAGCTGTAATTTATGCTTTGCTTTCATGTTCGCATAACTTGGAAGTTTACTGACATTTACATACCTTATTCACCTGGCTCAAGTGGTGGATCTGGGGTTGTTGTGTGAGCCACCACTTGAGAATTGTCGTATTTTTTATGAAAAAATGTTCTTATGTCCATCTTCAAAAACTCTGAGTCCGACTGACAGTTAAAACACTAGGCTTGTTTGAGACACATTGCGGCTCGCCTCGAAAGTAGACGAGAGTAGCCGATCGCAGCCGGGGGAGGTGTCAAAAAGCTCGTCTTAAGTCGGACAGCTCGGAGTCGGAGTCGGCTTGACTGGCTGGGTTTGCAATGGCGGAAATTGCGTTGGCGTTTTTCGTTACAGATGAAGTGGATGCAATAGAAATCCCACATGTATTGTATGGAGAATGGCATGATGAACACCGTCTGCGGAGGTAATTACGTATCTTTTTATTTTTAATTTGATAGGGACAGAGCATGTTAATGAACATCAGTATAAAATACAAGAAGTATAAATGTGTTTGAGCAAACGTGCTAATTTACATCCGTAGTAGGCTACCTAGGCAGGTAACAAAAACAGATACACAATACAATACACAAGTAAAAAGACAAAATATATTGTTGCATCAGTCTAAATTAAAAAGTATGATCGATTATCCGGACTGATTACTTTACTCTACAGATCACAAATTGTGCAAAATTATGACACTATTAGTCTTTTTTAGTCCAATGGGATAAGATAAAAGCTACTTTACTAAAGATATAGAACGCAAGCAAGATAGTAGTACAAAGATACAATAAATAAACAAGAATACAACTGAAATCAAGTGAAGATAATATAGGCCTACAGCAGCAGCAGCAGTTATATATATATAAAGAATGTTGAATAGGTCTAATGATTTATGGTCATCATTTGCTCCTGTGTCTGCCTTCCTTAGATCCGTTCCAAAGGTCCAACAATTTGTGGAAGAAGTGGTCCCACAGTACAGTCCTTCAGACTTCAAAAGTCATTTCCGATTGTCCAGGGGACATGTGGAAGTATGTGTGTGTATATATATATATATATATATATATATATATAAATAACATCAAATATGTATTATCTGGACTGGTGATATTAAAAGCCATTTATTCCTTTCTACCAAACAGGATGTGATGACGACTATTGGCCCGTTCTACTGGAACAGACAGCACAGTAAAGTGCCGCTTCAAAACAGTGTTCTTGCCTGTCTGTGGACTCTATCAAACCAGGAGTCCTATAGGGGGGTTGCTGATCGTTTCAATATCACCAAATCCACTGTCTGCCTGCATCTGCATGAATTCTGTAGTCTTGTCACCACATATTTGTCTCACCACATTTCCTGGCCCACAGGGCAAGCCCTACATAATTCTGAGTTAGGATTTTGTGCAGCAGGATTTCCCAACACTGTCTGTGCGGTACATGGATGCCACATTCCTATTGTGAAACCACACTGTGAGAACCCAGTAGCATACATCAACAGAAAACAGTTTTATTCTGTTGTGCTTACTGGGTTCTGTGACAGTAAACGGAAATTCTGTCATGTTAATGTGGGCCACCCTGGTAGCTGGCATGATGCACTTGCATTCCGGTTGTCTGCTGTTGGAAGGCTGCTTGATGAAGATCCCCAGTCCCTGGTGCCTGAGGGAATGCACATCATTAGGGACTCTGCCTACCCACTATTGCCTCAGCTTATGAGGCCATACAGGGACAATGGCCATTTAACTGCTCGGCAGCGTCGTTTCAATCAAAAATTAAATGTTGCACGCGTGGTCATTGAGCATACCTTTGGCCTACTGAAAACGAAGTTCAGGAGGCTCAAATGTTTGTACATGAAAAACATTGCAAACATTAGCACAGCAGTCACTGCCTGTTGCATACTTCACAACATGTGCTTGGAGGAAGGGGAAGCAATTGAAGTTGATGAGCAGGTTGAAGCAGCAGATAACAGGGCACCGCATCCCCAGAACCAAGATGCAGTGTTGCACAGAAATCAGATTTGTGACCTTTTTTAAAGAGCTCACACACACACACACCACCACCCCCCCCCCCCCCCCCCCCCCACAAATAACCACTGTCATATTCTTTGTGGAAGACATTTGTTTTTTATTTCCTTTCCTTTTATGCCCACAGTATTGAGTATGTAAGTCACTTTGGATTAAAGCGCCTAACAAGTAACATGTAATGTCATCCAAAATGATTGGGCAAGTAAAAAATAAATGCATATATATGAAAACTAGATATGGTCATTTTCTGCACATGTCAATAGCAGTTGACTATCTTCTTTGAAAATGAAATAACTATATATACATATGTACACATGTACTTGGCAAATAAATAATAATTGCATATAAACATTGTGAACACTTAGTGTATACAAATACAAATATTACAAGGCAATTGCCAGGGATGAAATAATAACTCAACTGCATAACGAGGAAAATAAATAACTAATCTAAACAATATTACTTCCATAAACAAACTGAGGTGGTGTTCTTTATAAACAAATTAATTCAGGGAATACCCAGTGTGGGGGAAATTATGGCATATTGGGCTTGTCCTGCAAAAGCTCAATGATGCGCTCTTGTTGGCTCCCAATGGACTTTAACTGGGAAACAACTTCTCCCATCGCAGTCAACATTTTAGCTTCAAACCTCCTCCTATTTCTCTCCTTCAGCCTTCTCCGGCGCTCCTGTTCTGGCCGCACCAGTGTCTCCAGTGCACTGGTCCTCCTCTCCGAGTGGGCCTCATACAGGTCGTAGAAGGAGGGATGGGAGACTCGAGACCGGATTGATCTCGGCTGAGTGGTGGGCAGGGTCATGGAGGGACCAGGCTGGGCCTCAGAGGCACACGGCAGTGTGGTGGGCAGGGTCATGGAGGGACCAGGCTGGGCCTCAGAGGCACACGGCAGTGTGGTGGATGGTTGTGAGGCAGTGGGTAATAGAGGGGTGGAAACAAGAGTGCCTGGAGGTGCGCTCCCAACACCGCACCTCCCAAACAGGTTGTCCATTATCTGTGGAATTGCAGAATTGTTAAAATGGAAATGTTGCTTTTACCAACTAGATGTGCAAGAACAAACTTCTTACCCCATAATATTCCCACGTTATGTTCCCCTCTCCTGTTGAGGTATGTAATTTGATTTAATCTTGCCATTTTAAATGATGTATTCAATAAATAAGGTTAAACCAAATCATTACATTACAATAGATTTTATTTTAATGATTTGGTTTAACTTAAAGAGAAACTTTATTGTTATTGCACATATTACAGGTACTGAGACAACGAAATGCAGTTTAGCTTCTAACCAGGTGCAACAAGCAGTGAAGTGGAAAGTAATGTACACAATCTACAGAATAACATATAGAATGAATTGAATGATGAATAAACAGTGGGGTATGAATACACTAGATATCAGCCTGTGAGCAGTATGAACAGTGTGTATGAATATGCTAAGATATATAAAGTATGAAAACGGTAAGCAGTATAGTATAAAATATATAGATATTAATTTCATGATGATAAACATTGTGGAACAATGATGAAAAATAGGAATGGATGTGGCGACGTAAAACTGACACAAAACAACAACAAACTTTTGCCAGCCAATTGGAGAGTTTCATCAGCAGCACGTGGTAAAAACCACCAATGAGCGCTCAGCTCGAGATACCAGCGAGCCGTTACCCATCAAGCATTTCGCTTCCGCAGCCCGTGGAGAGCAACTGCGCCAACTCGCCTCGCCTCGCTCTCAAGGCTGCGGGCGTCTTTGTCCCGCGAAATTTCAAAGTCTCATGTGGGCGGGCCTCCAGAGCAAGTCGGACAACATGACTAACCATCATGCAACGCACTAGCAAGACGTTGATCGCAACTGCGCAGGTCTGCGCAGGTCTGCGCAGGTCTTGCTTGTCTCAAACAAGCCTACTGTCACAGGATAGATACAGTCGGCAAGCAAGGGAACGCCCACCACACGTCACATCCGGTTCGCGCTGAGGGGGAAAACAAACCGGCTTCCACAATGCCCAGGAGCTGCTGTGTGCCCTTTTGTACAACTAACAAGCTTACAAATCCAAATCTAAAATGTTATATTTTGCCCAACGGGAGCACAGAGCCCAGGAGAAGAAACCGGTGGCTTCAAGCGATCCATCGGGAGGATGAGTTTGGCCACCTGTGGGATCCACAATCCAAACATGTGTACGTCTGTAGTCAGCACTTCATTACAGGTATGACAACGTTATTCACACAATAACAGTGTTAAATTGTTTCGTAGTTAACATGAATGTTCAATTACTAGTTTTAAGATAAGTTAACTAACTACTACGTTATGCAGGCTACCTTGCTTGAGTATACAAAAACACAGCTATGCTAACAACACTGGTGGTAGCTTCCGAGCTTTCTGCAGTTAAAATGTATTTCACTCCCTTCTATCCCCTTCTCATTTCGTTTGTGAACTGTCTTGCCCTAGGCTTAAAAAACGAGGACATAGCCCACCCAGATTACACACCCTCGCTGTTCCCACATAAAAAGACAAAGTCTCCCAGGTCAGTACTTCAGAGGCTGGAGAGAAGGAGGAAGCGTGAGGGTGTTCAGTCTGCCCAACCAGAATCCCCAACATCAGAAGCTCCCATACCTCTTCAGGAGTTAGAGAGAAAACAACTTTATGAAGAATTGTATAATTTAAGAAGAGAAAGAGATGAGGCCATGAAGGAGCGAGCTGAAGCCATCAGAGAATTGGAGATGTTGAAAATGTCGGTAAACACTGAGAGAAAATGACACTAAATGTAAAGTCATGACAGGCCTGTCATGGACAGTATTTGACACTCTTCATCAGTACCTGGTACAGTTTGTTTAGTCACAGAAAACATCCAAGATGTCAACATAAGACCAGCTCTTTATTACTCTGGTGAAACTGCGGCAGAACCCCTCAACCGATATGATGTGTGGAATATTTGACCTGGCACATAGCACTTTCCTGGATGTATTCTCCCGATGGTTGGATTTGATGTACGCCAACATTTATTTTTTGATTAAATGGCCTGATAGAGTGTATCAGAAGCACAGTACCAGCAGAGGTTCTCTTCCAGTACCCTAGAGTGACTGCAATTATCGACTGCTTTGAAATCAGAATTGAACACTCAAAGAAGCTGAAAACAAGGTGAGATATTTTTCTTTTTGATAGCATGCATAAAGTGTCGGGTTTTTGTAATACTTACCTGGCTGTCTGTGTATATGTATGTACACAATTTATAGATAAGTATTACTAACGACTGTCTCTTCTCACAGAGCTATCACCTACTCAAAATACAAAAACTGGACAACAGTGAAGTATTTCATTGCATGTCACCCATCTGGCTCAATCACATATCTCTCCAAAGGCTGGGCAGGGAGGGCTTCAGATGTGCATATTGTAAGGAACTCAGACTTCTTATCTCAGAAGTTCCACCATGCAGGAGATCAGGTAACAATTGTTTTTTTCTCTAATTTAAGTCTTATTTGTGAATTTATTATTTACCCATAGTTACCATTTTTGAGTTGCTGTTGAAGTAAAGTAGTGTTTTTAAGTATTTGTAATGTTTATTTCAGATTTTAGCCGACAGGGGCTTCACTTTGAAGGATGACTTTGCTGTTCTGGGTGCACAGCTCATCACACCGTCTTTCACGAGGGGCCGAAAACAACTGTCAGCCGAAGATGTTGCAAATTCTCGTGTGACTTCGAACATCAGAATTCACATTGGTAAGTATAGACTCAGCAGTCAGATTCATACAGTATGTACATTTTAATGTTTTTGGTATTCAGAGTGTGCTGCATCATCAAATCACTGTTGCTACTTGCCGCTGACGTAGTTCACATTTCCTAAACTAAATTAATTACTGTAACAGTACAGATCCGGGTTAACAAGTGCTGAGACGTTATTCAATTAATCACATCAACGAGTACATGTGTAATCCCTACTTTGTAGGGTGTCTTAAGATAACATTTTATCTTAAAAACATGTTATTCTATATTTAAATACATTGAACTGTTGTTCACATTTAGTGCAATATCAAGAGAACAGGATAACAGGAAGTTAACAGGGATCTTTCTTCACTTTAACATGAAAAAGAAACACTAATTATAGGACACAATGCACTGACGATATGATATAACGGTCAACTGCTACTCCTGTGAAACTCGAACATAACAATGTAGATAAACAGCATTTTAACAACAAATATGTGATCTGTGGTCTGCAGAGAGTCATTGGGGCCCTGAAGAGCCGGTACCACATTCTGGATGGCCCACTTCCTCTGCACCTGGTGAAGAGACTGCAGGATGAAAGACAGAAGAGAGAAGAGGCCATGATTGATAGGATTGTGCATGTC